GTTATCCTCCGGCTCGCGAGAGGAGCATAAGAAATGGATTTGGGAGATGGAGCTGAACGGAGAGTGCCGACACCGTTCATGGCGAACGCGATAGAGAATCCGAGCGGCCTTTCGCATTTCTGCTGAAAATATAATTTGAGCTACAATAATCCAACAATCAACCTATACATGGTAACAGCAAATCGTCTTTGCTTCCCGTCTTGAATCTTGGAATAAAAAATGAAGGTTTAGGGTTCTGCAGTGCGGTGGCGGAGGAAGCTAAATTTGCCGGCGGGCGGAGAGGTGGTGGTGGTTTTGAGGTTGTAGTGTTTGTTGAGTAAGATTTTTCCTTTTTCTTTTCTTTTTTTTTTCGGTTTTTTTGCAATTTCACGTTAACGCAACAAAGTCGAGTGTTTTATCAAACTAATTTATGATGAAAAAAAAAACATAAAAGAATAAATTTTGAATAAAATTGTTGAGTGATATTTTGAGTTTATATTTAATAATATTTAAAAATATAATATAAAATTAGAGTGGTATTGAAAATCATAAGTTGTTAAAAATATGTTAATTAATTAATGGTGAATTAAAGTTTGATACATAGTGTGAGTACAATTTATTAGTCTTATTTAATTATACTGATAATATTTATGAGAGTTTGGTTTAGAATAAATTTGAATTGAATTTTAAAACAGTTGCCTAATACGTCAACGTCGGATAATTTATGTGGTGTCTTTTATTATTCTACAAGTTTCTTATAGTGTGTGATCAACGATTTAAAAAAAATATTATAATGTACTACTTTTACTGATATGATCGAAGTTGCCTAGTCAATATGGTTAGATCATAGATTCGTTTTGATGTCGGAATGAACCAGCTTTGACTCGTCAAATATGTTAAATAGTTAGTTTGTTAAATAGCTTGTTTGATTAACGTCTTGAAAGAAAATGCAAACTTCGAAAAGACAACGTTTTGATAATTGATGATTTGTAAAATAATATGCCAACATAAAATTTCATAATGGCTACACACACCCGTCATCTATTCAAACATTTATTTACAAATCGCTAATACAATTCACTTGTCAAATCAGTTATTAACTTATTATCATAAATATGATGCACGGATCGAATCAACTATTTCAATTCTCTAGTCAAACAAGGAGAATATTTTCAATAAGTTGTGTATAATATTAATTATTTAGTTTTTAATCATCCAAATTGGAAAAAAAAAAGTGACAATCAAACGAAATAAGAAAGGTCGAAAATCGAAATATGTGAACTAGCAACTTAAATTAATATCTACATTTACAAGAATGACATTAACCATGCACATGTAAATTTATATGCTGTTTAACAGATAAACATTAACATTTTCAGTCAAAATTATAGTTTTATCTCAAAATTATAAAATATTTTACTTTGATAGTAAGTCACATTTATCACCGATTCACACACAAAATATTTCACAAATGGTTTGTTGTTTTATTGGCAAAATTAACATTGTACAATATTCTTAAATTTGGGCTCCAAATACCACACCAACTGATCAACCTCAGAAAGAAAGGAACTTCAAAATCTCAAATAACATAAGTTCAAAAGCTTTTAACAATGATATAACAAATGCATCTGCACTTAATTAGCAGCACTGTCCATTCAGAAAACTACAACAGTAGTGGCAAAGCTGTGTCTTTTCCCTAAAACAAATTCTGCACCAAACGTACAAAAAACCGTATAAAGAAAATCCAGAAAAATTCGAGTCGTATATATACTAATGTTACAAATCAAATGGGATAATCAGGAGCTCAATTGTGCAGTGAGAATCATCCAAGAAACCTGCATGAGTCGATTGAGCCCGTATAATAAAATAACTTCTTTCTTCAAGCTCTCTTTGATCCTTCTAATTCTAGGGCCTCAAGATTCAGGTGATGTATAGGTGTAATGCATATAAATCTAAAAGTTTCTTTTTTTTTTTTGGGTTTTTTCTAGTGACCATGAAACCGGCCTTCTTTCCTGACACGTGTTCGAATTTCTATCTGTTTTCCAGTTGACTTTCCTGATGCATCCACCAAGTCATGGCGGGTTACAATTTTTATAGGGTGAGCCTCTGTGTTAAAAACCCATTCGTCGAGGGAAATGACTGAGGAAGGTGAAAAAAGGAGGTATAGATATTTCAGTGTCTCTGCCAGAAAAAAGCTCTGCATCATGTTGTCTTTCACGCCAGTGTTAACCTAAGAACGGAAGATGCAAAAAGATGTATTAATGTGCCATCACGATAAATATGTTGGGGACGACAAAGAAAAAAGGGGAGAGAGAGAGAGAGGGAGAGGGAAAGAGAGAGAGAGAGAGAGCTGGTACACTAACAATACAACCCCAGATTCTAGTATGTTATTGATAATTAGATAGTAATATGGTAACTGGTAGTTTTAGAGCCCATAAATATCTAGTCCAGGTTCTAGTCTCTAGTATATAGTCCCTCCCCCAGTTTCTCTTTGGAGTTCAGACTTACTCGAAAAGTGTCTTACCTCAATACAATTCATCTCGGTTGTACTTGAGGGAGATTTATTTTCAAAAAAGAAATGATGACTATCACCACTAATAAACTATACCAAATGCTACTAGTTAATCATTGACAACAAATACTTCTATAATCTAGAAGTGTAACATGCGCAGACACACACACACACAGAGAGAGAGAGAGGGTGGAAAAAAAAAAAAATGTCAGAAGTTTTCTATACTATAAACACAGTAAAAACAATTCAGAAGTTGAGAAGTTCTTACATCCTTTAATCCAACATATCCTGACTCTGTGCGGGAATTCTTCTCAAATGCTTGGAAGATATTCCAGCCCCACTCTTTATAAGTCTTGTTTCCAGTCAAACGCCAGAGATAAAAGAGTGACTCGATTGTCTCTGGCCTCAATATGTTCCACGATGTTCCAACACTCATATCCTGAAGAATTATTAGATAGGACACACAATGGAAAAGAATTTATTTCTTATTATAATGTTAATAATGCAGACTTTTTCGAATAAATATATAGATAACACCGAACATACTCACCTGTCCTCGATTAAAAAAGTAATTTTCTCCAGCCAATTTTGTTGGTGTTGACTGGTAGAAGTTATAGCAGGTCCACGCTAGCTGCAGAATCGATTCAAATGCTATAAGAATTTCTTCACTGAACATAGTTCTTTACTAGACAAGCTAATAAAGATCAGAATCATGCATGCAAACCTCCTCAGCAAGCGATAAGAATTTCTTAGATTCATCAGGGTCATAGTCCGCAGATCCCAATGCTATCATTCCTGGAGCGAAACATGCAAGTTCATCCATCTGCAAGCATGTAATAGATGATAGCAACTTGTAAGAAACGGTCAAATTATAGAACAAAAATTATGCACTATCACAATGTATTTCCAACAAATGGTGTATGATTCTATTTATTTTCTTAGTTCAGAATTCAGATTTTCAATTTTTGAACTTTTCCAGTGTTTTTATTTTATATAACTTTTCAAACACTTGTATGGTTTTAGTTGTTTGTGCAGTTTCTCAATTTTAAAGTGTTTATGGATTTTTCTTTGGAATTTTTAGACTTTTTAGAGTGTTCAATTTTAGCACTTTCGAAATTTATTTCATTTTCCGAGATTTTGTTTCGAGGGATTTGGCCGTGACCATAATAATCAGACATGAGAGATGCTTAAATGCTTAAATACTTAAAATGTGTGTGCGTGCATATGTATGTCCAGAAATATATACATATATATAGACATTAACCACTGCCCACAAAGAAGATACACCTTATCAATTAAAGAAGTTCCAATCTTCTCACAGACATAAGTAAAAGAAGATGGGGAAGTTCTCCGCACCAAGCTTAAAAGACCTTTCATGGATGTCTCCCACATGTCCCTGTTTCGGAATACATAAAATTGTTGTTTACTGGAAAATTGAGAATTATTAAAAAAATATAAATAAAATGCTGGAGAATATTCCATGTACTTGCATAAGCGTGTGAGTCCATCAGAGAAAGAAACATGAGACGAGAGATATCTACCTATAATGCTTCACTGCAGTGGTTTTGTTTCCTTGTATCCAGACCTTGAGTAAGTATTCATAGAAGCTGCACGATTTTATTTACAAATGTTTAGTACTTGAAAACCGTCGCCAGTGGCCATAATAAAGGTTGATCAATATTACAGATCGTTTACAATATATGCAAGCATAGCAGATCATAAGGCAGTCGTTTTATGTAAAATGACAAAAGACCTGTCCCCCATGGCTCCAAAAGTTATGGTCGAATGTGATCTTGTTCCACTGTGTGGATTAATGTAGATGGGAAGCAAGCCATCAGATGGAAAGGTTTTATTAAGCTCTTTTATGACATTTTCCACCTGGAAAAATAAGGATGGGAGATTACTTCATAGAGAGAAGAGATAAATCTCATAATTTACAAGAAAGTGGATTCTTGGTAGTTGGTATCTCCGAATTGCAGATATAATTTTAAGCTCCATTAAAAAGGAATACACATTTTTCATTGGGTATGCTACAAATGAATTACTTTTCATTTTCTTCTCAGTACATACTTAAATGTGTGTGCGCGTGTCTGAATAGAAAGAGATACCTTTTGCTGATATTTAGGATCACCGGTTCTTTGGGACAGTGCAATAAATTCGATCTGCTCTGTGGCAGAATCTGCCAGGATGCTCTTACCCTAAACAAGAAAATACACGAGCCATGATTTAAGGCATACCTGCAACTTAAGAATAGTATAAGGTTCCAAATGAAGACTTTACCCCAGTCCACCCAGGATTATGTGGATTCCCATCAGCCAAGTTTATTATATTAAACGGAATGCCCGAAGGAGTATCCCAAGCAGGCAGTAGCCTATCAGCAATATCCTTAGCCTTGTCAAGGAAAACTTTATCTCCAGAAAGATCATATGCACTGAGAAGTCCACCAACAACCCTTGATTTTTCACGAAGGTACATGCAATTAGTGTTGTATTAAAGATTTTCTACTTCCGCACTAAAATCAAGGTCTCTTTCGTTTGACAAATTAGCATGCAATCCACACGAGCTAAAACGACTGAAGGAATATAAAAACATTAAACCTTATAAAGCAACCTTATGGTTGTCTCGAACACGCTGGCATCATAGTTCTTGTTAAAGTCCAAGGATTGTGCAACCCAACTGCCATATAACATGCTAAGCATCAATAGAGCATATACTTTGGTGTTTAGACTTGGTTGAAGACAACTGTAAGCATGCAGCTACAAATATGTAATGAAATTGGGTCAGAGTAAGATGAAACAGGAGTTGGCTTCACATTTACCACTTGAACAAGATTCAAGAAATATGTATAATTGTGACTTCTATTCATAGAAAGTCCTGACACAAATCCATCTTGAATCACTCATAGAAAACAAAATGTAAGGATGTTCATAGTAATCCGAATCAATATGACCTATAAAGAAAAGGATTTAACACTTCACTGATACCATAGCACAAGAATTTTCAACACTGTCATGTGGCTGATTTGAAGGCAATGACATCCATTAATTCGTCAATGTAAAAACAAACAAAACAAACGAGGAAGAAAAGGCAAACGTAAAATTAATAGAGCAGGTATCCTGGACTTACTCTCTAGCCTTTTGGAACTGCTCCTTCAATCCCATTATGTATAGAGTGTCAAGAGCATCAATTAAAGTTGCTCCAAGACCACCAAAGCTATCAACACCATTTTTCGATTGAGGCTGGCAACCAAAATGCATGTTCAGCATCAGAAAAGGAAGAAAGATGGAAAGAACGAAAAAAAAAATCTCAACATTGAGTCATTTCGGCATAGTAGATTTCCTATCAGAAGGTTGTAAAGATGAAGGAAACAAGGCAGATTAACATTTATAAGCACTTGGCCATTTGAATTCGGCAAAGTGAAACAAAAGAAAAGGGCAAACAAATATCTGTTAAAGCTATACCTGAAGTTCATCATGACCCCAAGCATAGGTTTCATATGAACTCCATGCATGAATCATAGCATCTTTAACTTTCTCTCTTCGTTCAAGGTCAACTGGATCATCAAAACCACCAGAATCCCAACTCGCTTCATCATTATGGCGAGCATTTTCCTTTACTTCTCCACTTTGACCCGCTTTAAGTTCTTCGAGCTGAAATTATCAATCAATCTCCAGAAATATGCTTATTAAAGACGAAAGAAGTAGAGATTGTAAAAGAAACTTCTATCAGCTCAACTCATTATACAGAGTTATCTGCATATAAAAGATGTCATGAGACACTTGATTCGATATACAGCAGTTAGAATGTAAAGCCATTGAATACTAAAAGGTTGGTGACAGAGAATTTAGTATCTCTGTAAGAAGATACATTGAAGAAGAAAACAATAAATAGGGCAACTCACTTGATTTTGTAACCGATTAACTTCATCACTCAATTTAGACAGCTCTTCCTGCACAATAATAACACAACCTGTTAAAAGCAATCAACAGCAGGGACCACTTCGAACCTGAATAAGGTAATTATATATACATTTCAAGGAAATAAATAGCTCGCTAAAGTTGCCGCTATTTGAGAAATAGCTTTTTTTGGCAGCGTGCCGCTATTTGTATTCATGTGTAATTTAGCCGCTAAATCTCCGCTATAGCTACAGTGCCATAAAAGTTTTAGCCCGCTATTTAAAACCTTGATACATTTGAAAGGAAAAATACATGCTTTTTTTAAAAAAAGATACAGAGAAGAACACCATGAGGCAATTTTTCCATTCTGATATTGTATCTATATTACAACACAAGAAAGGAAGATTTTAGAGTAATCAAATCAGATCAAAATTCCAATCAAAATCTGCAGGCATAAGCATGCTCCATTAAAAAATAAAAATAAAAAAATAAATAAAAAATATATCAGATTTCTGCACAGCTCCACGTAGTATATGGAATACCACTACATTTTGAATCAACCACCAACAAACACTGAGCTTTTGCAGTAATGGGAAGGAAAAAACAGAACCTAGATAAAAAGGGGAAAAAAATCATAACAATAAACTTGCAGATCCTTTCTCCACACATAACAAACTTACAAATGGGAAGAAAAAGAAAATTCAAATGTACCTCGTGCTCGCGAACTAGAGTCTGCCGATCCCAAACAACTAAACTGGCGCCAACAAACACCATTAAAAGCAAAGCTAATCTCTTAGGTCTCTTCAAATAATACGCCGGATTCACATATCTCCACCTGCTCGACGACGATCTGCTCCTCGCCATTTTTTTTTCGGAGCAGCTGCGGATTAAGCTCCGGACAGGTTTAGCAGCTGCAGATAACTACAGATTCACACAGTGAAGCCAGTCCGGCGATCGGAAAATATCACGGAGCGATCTAATGATCTTATCTGAAATTGATACTACCGACGCCGGTGTAAATATTGCAACGGTGGCCTGAAATCCGTTTCCCGGTGAAATATTGGTGTTCTTTAAAGGTGGTTCTGTTGGGGGGAATTCTAAGAAATGAAGGAAATTGACAAATTATTTCAAGAATTAATAAGATATGCTTTTGATTTTTTTATTTTTTTTATATCTTTTTTTCTTTTTGCCAGACTGCCATGTCATAATATGAGAAAAGGCTACGATTTCTTTATTTTATTTTAGACAATATTTTTTTTATTTAATCGTGTGAGACCGTCGAACGTAAAGGGTCGACTGTTCGTTAGACATGCTAACGGCTAGGTAGTTATATTTTTTTTTCAAGTCATGCGTAGTGTTGTAAACGAACTGAACAGAGATTGGATTGTTCGAACTCGTGTTCGTTTACGTTCGAACAATATTTATTTTCGAGCAAAAAATCATGTTCGAGTTCGTTCGTCTAATTGTTCGTCAAAGTTCGAGTTCGTTCATGTTTGAATAACTTAATACATAAACTTTTTAAATATGTTCGATTAACTCGAAATTTGTTAGTTCGAACACGTTCGAACTCGAAAATAAAGAATAAAATAAAAATAGTTTTATATATTATATTTTTTATTAATAATATTATGTTAACATATAGAAAATAAATAAAATTATATTGAATGTTAGGTTTTTTTAATAAAAATATTGTGTAAATATATAAAAAAACAAAATAAAATTATATTAAATTAATGTTCGCGAACATAATCAAACGTTCACAAACGAGTCATGTTCGTACGATTATTAAACGAGTCAAATTTTTTGTCCGAACTCGGCTCGATTAACAAACGAACGAGCTTTTGTCGAACACGAACGAGCTCGAACGAGCTTTGGTTCGCGAACGTTCGTTTCATTTACAACTCTAGTCATGCGTACTTTTAAATTGAAATGTCAAACTATTATGCCAACAGCTAAATAGTTACATTTTTTCAATAGTTTTGCATAATTTTTAAATTGAAATGACAAACTAATCATATTGTTAAATATATGACGAGTCGACTCGTCTGATGGTTAGACAGTCTCAAACGATAATTTATGTCGTTACATTTGCTATAAAGTTAAATTTCATAGTTTCCACTTGTGTTGTCAACCTAGTTGTACACTAGGTTGACTATATATATATATATATTTTTTTTCTTTCGATTTTTAAATTTGTACATATCTTGAAAAAATATGATCGTCTACAAATCTTTAGGCATGCCTAAGAACACTATTATGTCTAATAACATTATTATGTTAGTTTTTAATTTACCAACTCCACCAACTCAAACATGGATTTCAATAAATCTTACGCATTACGCAAGTGAAACTGCCAATCCCACAAACAAACACACATATTTAACATCTAATTTTGGCAATGCAAGTGTTCATGTATTACATGCTATAAGTGGCCAATGACACAATCTCACAATCAATTTTGATTAAGCTGGCCATATCAACACACCGATCACCAAAATTTCCTAATTTTCTACAGCAACTTGGCGGTCTAATAACAAAACGATCTCGATACCCAAACCTCCGGGTAATATTCCGAACTTCCGAGCAAGTTTGCTGATTCGACATACATATCCGGAACTTCCCTTTCTCAATTCAACAAAATATTCACAACAAAAATGAAAATTAAATAACGATCAAACAAACATCAATGCACGTATCCAAACAGTGCTCCCAAATCAAACAAACCACCGGCAATTAGCATTTCCATTAGTAACGTGTTGATGATATAATAAAAAAAAAAATAGAGAGAATTAAATGAGGAACCAGAGCTTACCGTCCTCAGGATCCATTGCTTCTACACGAGCAGGAACCACCATTTTTGTTATTTTGTGTGTTGGGAGTGCATGAGTTTGTGGTTAGTTAGATTAGTAAGGGTCGTCTCTCTAGATTCAGCTAGGTGGTTGTTTGGCTTTTTTAGTTGTTGTTTAGTTGTATTTATGTTTATTTCATCTATAAAATCTATCGTTTCGAAAAAAAATAAAAATAACATGGAATACAAAGAGATAAAAAAAATTAAATTAATTTGCTTTTATTCGGTATTTTTCTTTAATGGTACTAGTATGAGCACGGGTAAGAGATATTCATTAATATTTATTAATTAAAAATTTTATTAAGTAATATTTATAAATTAAAAATATGGAATCAATGTGTAATACAATTAGTTACTCATTAATAATTCTACGAGCTTACTATTTTGGCCCAAATTGAAACTTATCAATGAAACCAGATAAAAATTTCCCAACATATTTTAAAATTCGTCATTTGATACGAAAGAGAAGATAGAAATTGTGGAAAAGATCATCTCAATCGGATGATTCAATATTCTCTTAACCATGAATATATATACACAAAATTAGGACTCCAGTTACCTAAAGAGACCTAAGGCTAATATAGAAATTACACAAATATACACAATAACACCCCCCTCAAGTTGGAGTATGCGGATTCCGAATGCCCAACTTGCCAAGAAAGAAATCAAATTCGCGCTTCCCAAGCGCCTTGGTGAAAATGTCAGCGAGCTGTTCCCCAGAAGGAACATGAGTAGTAGAAATGAGGCCCTGAAGAACAGCATCTCGAACAAAGTGGCAATCTACCTCAATGTGCTTAGTCCGCTCGTGAAAAACTGGATTCGCCGCAATATGCAGTGCAGACTGACTGTCACAGTGTAACCGCATAGGCTGAGAGTGAGCGACACCAAGAGTAGATAATAGTCCCCGCAGCCACTTCAACTCGCACAATGTAGTAGCCATCGCCCGATATTCAGCCTCAGCAGAAGAGCGTGAGACAGTAGGTTGTTTCTTCGTTCGCCAAGAAACAGGAGACTGACCCAGCTGAATAAACCAACCAGAAAGAGAGCGCCGAGTGAGAGGGCAAGACGCCCAATCCGAATCACACCATGCATAGAGTTGAAGATCGCAGTCAGTACGAAGATGAATCCCCTGACCAGGGGAGCTTTTCAAATATCGAACCACACGCAGAGCAGAGTCCCAGTGAGCCTGACGCGGTTGATGCATGAATTGAGAGAGCATATTCACTGAATAAGACAGCTCAGGTCGAGTCACTGCCAGATAGATAAGACGTCCGACTAAACGACGATATCGCTCGGGATCAGACAATAGATCACCCTCAGCAAGAGGTAGCTGATGATTCTGCTCCAATGGAAAATCAGCTGGCTTGCTCCCTAGTAATCCGACCTCAGCTATGATGTCAAGAGCATACTTCCGCTGACAGAGAAAGAATCCAGAAGAATTCCGGGCAACCTCGATACCCAGAAAATACTTAAGCAATCCAAGATCCTTCATGTGAAAACAACGACTCAAGTAACTCTTGAAGGCCGCAATGGATGTGGTGTCATTCCCGGAAACAATCAGATCATCAACATAGATCAGAACCTGGAGATGAACAGAACCACGATGCAGTGTAAAGAGAGAGTAATCATGATAAGACTGACAAAAACCATACTGCTTCAAAGCCGTAGTCAACTTGGCAAACCAGCAGCGGGGGGCCTGTTTCAAGCCATAGAGGGAACGACGAAGACGGCAAACTTGCCCATCAACGCCAGAACGAAAACCAGGAGGAAACTTCATGTAAACTTCCTCAGCCAAATCACCATGAAGAAAAGCATTGTGAACATCCATCTGATGAACTTCCCAATGCTTAGCAGCAGCCACAGCCAAGAATAACCGAACTGTAACCATTTTGGCAACGGGAGCAAAAGTCTCGTGATAGTCAAGACCTTCCACCTGATTATTGCCCAAAATCACCAGACGCGCTTTATAGCGCTCAACGGAACCGTCAGACTTATGCTTGATCTTAAAGACCCACTTGCACCCAATCGCACGCTTCCTAGATGGAAGAGAAACTACATCCCACGTGCCATTATTCTCCAAGGCACGAATCTCATCCTGCATAGCGGCTCGCCATCGATGATCAGTCACAGCATCAGCAAAAGTGCGAGGCTCAACAGTAGAGGCGATAGCAGCCAAAAAAGTTCGATGAGCTGGAGAGAATGAATCACAAGAAACATAATGTGCTATGGGATAAGGTGTACCGGAGGATGGAGACGACTGGGGAGAAACAGTGGGGGGTTCACTCGAGGGCCGGACAGTGTCAACCACAAAGTCCTTCAGCCGAGTAGAAGGAACTTTAGTCCGATGACCACGACCCAAGGGCTCCACTGGAAAAGTGGGAGGGGTAGTGGTAACGGAACCCCCCCTATTGTCAGACGTGTCCATATCAGTAGCAGAAGACCCAGTATCATGAGAAACATGAGGCAAAGGGACAACCGGAGGATCCTCATCACCATTCGGCGTATAAGAAACGGGCACAACAAGAGGCGGTGGCAAAGAATCTGGCTCAGACGCGTCTGAATGGTATGGGAATTCAGCCTCAAGAAACTCTACATCACGAGAGACAAAGAAAATCTGACGATCCAAATCATACAAACTCCACCCCTTTTTGCCAAAAGGATAACCAACAAATAGACAACGACGACTCCGAGCAGCAAACTTATCACCATTACGATCTTGGTTATGAGCATAGCAAAGGCAACCAAAAACCCGCAAATGAGACAAAGAAGGAGCCGAACCATAAAGAATCTCATATGGGGTTTTACCACGTAAAACTGAGGAAGGAATCCGATTTATCAGATAGACCGCAGTCAAAACACAATGACCCCAAAAAGGAAGAGGTAAATGAGCCTGAAAACGCAAAGCACGAGCTACATTGAGAATATGCTGATGTTTGCGTTCTACACGCCCATTCTGCTGAGGTGTGCCTACACAAGAAGTCTCATGCACAATTCCTTGACGACGAAAATAAGAGGC